AGAAGAGGTGCATTATAAAGAGACTACAGATTTCTCCAATATCCTTTAATTTAGAGTCTCAAGAGATGTTCTGTACAGAATTCACTGACTGAAAACCTTAAGTAAGAAGAGACCAATTATGTGATTCTGCAATCTGTATACGGGGTAAAAATGGGAGTTCATAACCCACTTGAATCAAATGTATGAAATATGATATGTCAAGAACTATGTCATGTTTTGAACAACTAATAAAAAAAAGAAATTCCTAGGGGAAATTGCAACCTAAAGTAAGTGAGATTTCTCAAGGAGATTCAGTAGTCAACATTTTCACTAAAAGAAATACAATTATTCATGTATTCATTTGAATCCTGAAAACTAGTCATGACTGAAGTGTCCTAGAAAACTAAAATAACTCAACATTAAAGAAATATTGTATTTCCTATCAGTTACCAACACTATCTTAAAGTAGGCAGCATTTCCAGCCAAATCAGAACATGACAATTTACTTGAAGAAAGAAAGTAACACACACACACACACACACACACACATGCAAACACACACACATATATAATGTTTCTGTATGTGATCACTTTTATTTACATAAAATAATTTAATTTTATCTTGATGCCTTTCAGTTCTTTAGTTGAAGAGTTCTTTTTCTTTTAAAGTAAACTTGTTTTAGCATAAAATGATATGATCGCCATAAACATATTCAAAATGAAATCCTTTATGTTCATTATATTTTCTGATTATGTGCATATATACATTCATAAGCACTAACTAATGAGGATCTTCGTTTGTATATACTTGTCTATTTAGAGTCTGAAGTTATTTACCAACCAATGTAAATGGATCATACTCATTTTTATTCAAATGTTTTATTACATAGAAATGCAAATATATATTAAAAAGGGAATAATATACCTTTCACCCAGATTCAACATCTGCTAATTACATGGCATTTTTGTTTCTTCTATGCAGCCTACTCATTTTATATGTAATACTAATTTTCTAAAATCATAGATATTTTCTTAATTTATGTCTTATTTTAATCTTGGCTTATTCAGTATTTCCAAACAAATACATTAGTATTTTTGGTCTCATATGCTATTAAAAACAGATGCCTACTTTCATTCAATCACTGAACATAAAGCATATGACACCCTCTGGAAGATACCTTCATGCACTTATTATTATTCTAGGGGTGGCTGTGTCAAGCAGTTTTAACCTAAAGCTCATTTAACCCACCAGTAAGTTAGCATTGCTGGTTGAGATCTGGCCCTGCATGTTTTAATTCTCTTAAGTGGATTTCTGCCTAGCTCTTGAGCTCAAATTCCCATCTTCCAGTAAACAGATGGTATCTTTAGTGCTTAAGTTGCCATCTGAGGAAATGATGATTTAAAATATTCGGCCCTTTAGATCCAGGAATTAAGAAAACTTAAAAAAAAAAAAACACCCCAAAACGCTAGTATTTTAAAATGCATGCCAACTTTCCCAGATCACTAGAAAAGCAACAAAATTTCTTTTATAGATGATGTGTCCTATTTTGGAATTCCTGAAAGCACATCCTTAGAACCACATTACTCTTCATTGGAAAGTACTTGTGAGAATAATCACACAAACCGTGTTAACTTGGGACATGACAACTTGGATAACGTGATAATGTGGCCAAGTCCAGTAAAGAGCTAGGGTGTTGGGACAAAGCAACAAGAAAACCAAAGAAGGAGAAGAATGGCTTGAGTGTGTATTTTCTGAGAAATCTGAGACTTAATTTTTACTGTGTATGATTTCAAATTCTAGAAAGTACAGTCATTTATTGGAGAAAGAAAAAGGTGTTGGTGATTTTGCTAGCCATTTAACCAGAAGTAATATTTATATTTAATTTTTAACTTTTCCACCATGTCGTTCCACTATGCTGACAATATTTCAGAATTGACCATATATTTTCATTTTTCAAATTAAAATGAATAGCATTGAGTTTCCAATGGCTAGTGACATTAGCCAAAGGGAAACAGTCCCACACTAAGTGTCTCCTCATGGACAACTTTAGAGTTTCCAGCCAAAAATAGACCCTGAATCTGGGTGATTTTCTAGCCCTAAATGTCAAACTACAAAAAAATGTGGAGGAAAACGTGAAATTACACTGTAGTATGACAATCAGCAAATCTTACACAGGAAAACTACACAAGACAAAAGCCCATTCCCCCATCCCCAGGCAAATGCAAGGAATAAAAAGATAGAAGGAGAACTTGTGGATTAAAAGTATGGTAAAGAAAAAAAAAAGGATCAATCAGTTCACATGTGTGAACTCTGCTTGAATTCTGATTTAAATATATGTTTTAAAAGAGAGACCTGTAGGAGGTGATAGGAGAGTTGCACATTTACTCTTTTGTTTTTTGATGAAAATGAGGACATGCATATTTTAATGTGTTATCATGGCATCACAGTGTTTTAAAGAAGAGAGCTCAGGTTTTAGAGATGCACACTGTAATATTAATTAATTAAATGACATGGTGTCTAGGATAAATTCAAAATAATGTGGGAGTTGGGACTAGTTGAAGGCGCTGTGTGTGAGAAAGGAAAACCATTTCTGTTCATTGTTAATGCTAGGTATTGGGTGCCCAGAGTTCATCATATTAGTCCACATGTTTTTGTATATGTTCTGAATTATTCATGTATTTTTAAAGTAATGAAAAAATAAAAATAGTTCTAAGTCTGTGAACAAAAATAAATAAGACTTTTCACATTTCTACTATTTTGATTGTTTATATTTCTCAAATTTTGATTGTTTATATTTCCCAAATTTTGATTGTTTATATTTTCCGATTTTACGAAGTTTCAAGGGAAAGACATTTTATTCCCCTTGATTTTTAAAATTGCTTAGATAAAAGAATCTGCAGAGAATGTAATTTTCATCTGATGAGTTTTCCACTGATAGTATAATTGGGCTATAATGTCAGGTTGAAATTTTATTTTAAAGATATAAGAAAATAAGATTTCTTAAGGTTTTTATGTAGCAATACATGAAATAACACTTTTTTAATATAAAAGAAAGTAAACATGCTAAATTTTAAGATAACTAAAAATAATTGATGCATTAAATTGTTCAAAGGATGTGTAATTTTGTTTAATAAAATTCTTGATATAAAAATTGTCTGGCATAAGAAACACTAAAATAATCGAGGCTAATGCTGGTAATCATTTATTCTTGACACTAATGGAAATATATTCTTAGATTTTCTCAATGAGGCTTTAGGATGCTGGGTTTCACAGTCATCTGTCTCTATGTAATGTTTCTGACATTCTTCATTGATGTGGGACATTAATCATTTATTATCATTAACATCATATCTATTATGACTGTATTTTGAACATAACATTCATTATATTAACTTCATCTCTCATTATAAATCTTAGTTACATTAAAACAGTAATTCACACATAGAATTCACTAATTTTAACAGCTTGATGAATGAGAATAACTAAATTTTTATTTTAATATTGTATTTAGAATTTTCTATGGGACATAGAAGCAGAAGAGAAATTACTGAATCAAAGGGAAATATAATAATTAGAGTAAGATTAATTTGTGGTGAGATAACCTTTCTTAGGGGTTATGAATATAGGGATGATGAAATGAGATGGACATCATTACCCTAGGTACATGGATGATTGCACAAATGGTACGTCTCTAAACAGTGCACAGCCAGAGAATTGAAATATTGCACTCTATTTGTGTATGATGAATTGAAAGGCATTCTGCTGTCATGTACAACTAAGTAGAACAAATTAAAAAAATTAAAAAATTAACTTTTCTTACAAACTCAAATAGCTGTTTAGACAGTTTGATTTTTAAAGAAAATCACTTAATTTTTACTTTAATATTTTATTTGGAATTTCTTTACATGATCTTGAAACAGAATGAAAATTGCTGAATGAACAGAGATGGAATAATTAGGAATTTGAAAGGCTAATAATAATAAGGGTTTTATAAGAATAATTAGGACTTTGTAAGATTAATTTGTAGTAATATTGCCTTCTTGCAAACTCAGATAACCTATTCAGTATATGATGTATAGTGAATTTTAATTACTTATACTGAAAGCTCCTTGCTTTCTACATCAAATTGGCAATTTAAATCTGTCTAGTATAAATGTTGAAGACCTTTGCCCTGTTTGAAAACAACTAGCTGAGTAAATGCAAGTGATTTTAAATTAAGGACGTCTGTGCAATTAATTTAGGGAAGAAAAATTAGCTTATCCATTAGCATTATAGGTTATTGTAAGGCAAAACACACTGGCTATTCATTCAATTAACAACTAACATTGCAGGCAACCTTGTTGTTAAGCAGTTCTGAATTTTAAGAAAGCTATGCCTTTACACAAACTAGGTAATATATTTCTCTGAGATTGCTTGAGTCTATTTGATACATTAATTTGAAGAGATAAATGATTTACTTAATATTGTTTATCAAATCTGATGAAAAAATTTGTGGCAAAAAGAACAATTAAGATTTTTTTTTCAAATAAATGTACCTGTGAACCTATACAAATATGTCTTCAAAATGCACTGATAATCTTATGACGTCTGAACTAAAACTATGCAGTAAAATAACGTGGATGGAAACACAAATGAAAATGCAAACTCCAAATAGAATCATCTGCTTTAAACTGAACAATTCACATTGGACTGCAGAGCAGAAATCATCTTTTCAAACAACTCTATGACTGAGTATCACAGTGATCAATTATTGTTACAATTTTTATTTTCCATTTGAAAACATTATATACTTTTAGATAAAGATAGTTATAGTCAATGTCAGATAGTGGCATTGATCATCTCAGTTTTATGTATATTTATTCATAGATATTTTCTCTACTTACAGAACTTAATTTCATGAATAAAATATGAGTATATTTTCAGAAAGAAAGACTCCAACACACAAAGTTGTCACATAATCATGCATATAGTATACTGATAAATACGCTATTAAATGTAAAAGGAAGAGGAAGAGTTTTACCTGGATTATCACGTGTTGGTCTGCAGCTGAGTAGAACAAATGGACTCCCTGGCAATGTCAGGACTGATAATCCTGAGTGAGCGCAGGAGCAGTTTCCAGGGGTGGGACTTGCCTTCAGTAATGAATTCCCAAGGGACTCTTTCCAATCAGAGAAGGCTATCACAGACAATGGAACCATTCTCCATTTGTTGACCCTACTTTTGTATTTACAATCAGCTGTGGGTGTATTCATGCATCAGTAAAGGAATTGACATAGGTTTCACTGGAGTTTGTGGCAGGAAGAATATTCTGAAACAAGGATTACATGAAAACAAGATAGATCTTTTATTTCTTGGAAACTTTTCCGCTGTATATTGACTTCTTCTAATTTTTCCGGTATTGAGATATGGATCAGTAAAAGATTTAACTCTAAGTAGTATGATCACCACCTGGCGAGACAGAGAAGCCTTCTGGATGGAGACGGGCAGTCTCTGCCTTGACAACTCATGTGGGAGTGGTGCCCACTCTTTTTGAAATCACCTTATTCAACTTATTCTAATAGTGGTACCTGTTAGATATCTCTTTAATCTCTTTACAGTTATTTATACATTGTGTTTGCCCCTGATTCAGGTACAAACATATACTTCCCATGTCTGTGTTATAGAAAAAGTTTCATTTGATTATCCGTCTGAAAGTTACATTTTCCAGAAGAAAATCATCTTGCTCTCTTCCTTACCATCTGGGTTAGTATCTAGGGCTGCCAGGCATTGGATTCCAGTTCCACAGATTGGGTGCCAAACAAAGTGTGAAAAATAGGGTGGTTTAAACAGTAAAAACATATTTCTTACAATTCTCCAGGCTGAAAGTCTGAGATCCAGTTATCAGCAGGGTAGCTCCTTCTGAGGACTGGGACTTAGAATCTCTTCCCAGGCCCCTTCCCACCTCTGGTTGGTCTGTGGGCAATCTTTGATATTCCCTGGATTGAGGTGCACTCTCATGGTCTCTGCCTTCATCTTCACATGGCACCCTCCGTATTCATGTCTGATTCCAAATTCCTCTTTTTATAAAGATACTGGACATAGTGTCTTAAACCCTACCTTACTGAAATCACCTTATTCAACTGTTATTCTAACAGTGGTACCTGTTATAGGTTACTGTAAGGCAAAACACACTGGCTATTCATTCAATTAACAACTAACATCGTTAACATTTCAACTCACTGATTTCTGTAAAGACCCCGTCTCCAATCAGGGTCACTTCCTGCCGTACAAGAGGTTAGAACTCCAACATATTTTCAAGTGAATGTAGAACAGCATCTTTCTATAATTCTCTGCATACAAGATGTAGGTTACATATAACATTAAAATTCCTTTGTGCAGCACATAAGAGCTTGAAGATCTCATTCCTGCCTTCAGTCACTTCTACTCCTGCCAGTTCCAAAGCATCCTGCTCCAGTTAAGTAGACAGAATACATCTTTGAAAACAATTTTTTATGGTATCATCAATGAGTCACACAACCATACAAAGTGAATACTGATACTCTCATCTTGTTTTCCTGTTTAAATTTTATTCTGTCTGTAAGGTTCAAATGAAGAGTTACCTTCTTTGGTAAGTACTCTGTAATTACCAGGTTTAGTTAGATAATTATGGGGCATTTAGCACCCTGCCCATCTTTATTTTGGACCATTTAGGAGGTCACTGTGAGGTCCCTGAGAGAAAACTGTTATGTTTATTTCTGTGGCAGAACCCAGCTCCTGTTTGGACAATGATTAAATGAGTGCATATTCAAGACAGCATGTGGGAGAGGAATTTATTCCAAACAAATGAAAAATGAACGTGTGAGGGCAGTCATCAGGCTTATTTAATCTGGGAAAATGAATCAGCAATCAAAACCTAGGAAAGAAGTCTTGATCTTTGCCAAAATGGAGTGGAAGTAAGACAAAGAATCATATAAAGATGAAAACATGGGACTCTTTTGTCACTGCTCAAAGTAGCCTCATACTTCAGAAAGAAAATGGAATTTGTAGTTAGACAAGAGCATAGTTCAAATCCAGTGCCTGGCACTTACTTTGGGATCTTGCATGAACTGCTTAACTTTCAAAAAAAAATTTTTTTTTGTTTAAATTGTAAAAGGATGATAGTGTCACCTATGAGGGCTTGGTATATACCTTTAGTCGTATCAATTCCAAAACAGTCTCAACAAAACAGCAACCCAGTTGCTCACGTTAACATTTTTAAGAAATTGTGAAATGTCTTATCCTCACGCTTAGAAGAAACTTGCCACCCAGCAGGCAGGGAGATCACGTGTCATGTGGTTTTCATTGTTGGTGATTGTGGAAATTTTGTTTTACCTCCCAGGTGTTAATAATATACAATATAAACTGTGGATCCATGGTTGTAGCTTAAGGGGTCTTTTAATAATATTATCCTAGGATTTAACTGACATAAGACATTAATGTATATGCAAAAATCTAATCTAATATGCCAGTGGGAGAAGTAGGAAAGACAAACAATAGAAACCCCAAGAATATAGAGAAGAAAGTTAGACTAGTGGAAACGGTGTAGAAATAGAACAAATAGAACAAATTTCTGCATTATTTAAATTGTGTAGGATAAAAAAAAATGTGTTTATGCTTATGAGATTGAATAATTTAAAAAAACGAAAGTACCAAATCTATAATAGTACTTTCAGGCAAATAGAAAAGATTGATGTGGCAAAATATGTGCATCTATGAACTGCCCAACAAACACCAAATATTTCTACCTCAAAAGCTTACTACTTAGGTTTATGGAAATTATTCAATTTCCAGAGATCCATAATGCACTCAAGGAAAAAGTAAAATCCTGAGTCTAACCATAGGAAGTTGAGGAAAATCCCAGTGTTTATATACCCAAGAGGTTAAGATCATGAGCAAAGATAATCCATAGAGCAGAATGCAACTTTGTGACTGGGTGTAACTGCTAACCATGCAAGTTATTCAGAAGAATCTTTGTTCTTTGGATGTGAGGCAGGCTAATATTCAACTTTTCACACTGTTAGCTTTTCATTTTGTAACAAATACTTGAGAGAATCAGTTTCTGAAGAGAAAATATTTATGTTGCTCATGGTTTCAGAGGTTTCAGGCTGCGGTCTATTGGCCTCATTGCTTTGGGCCTGGGGTAAAGCAGAGTTTCATGACACAAGCATGTAATGGAGCAGAACTACTCACCTCATGGCCAAAGGAGGAAAGAAAGGAAGAGACTGTGGTTCCAGAATCCCTTGGAGGACATGCCCTCGATCATCCAAGATCCCTGACTAGGTCCCATCTTCCAAAGGTTCTACTTCTTTCCCATGGTACCAATCTGGGGACCAGGCTTCAAAAATATGAGTCTTTGGGCTTAAGATCCAAGTGACAGACCACTCTGATCTCGAAGAAGGCTTTTAGTTACTAAGAGAGATGGAATGTAGTCATTAAAATTAGTAGAATCTTTTTGGTGGGTTAATATGCTTCTTTTTATTTCAAAAATCCATCATTAAATACATGTTAAAACTAGTTTGTCATGGGGAAAAAGTACACTCATACATTGCTGGTGGGACTGCAAATTGGTGCAGCCAATTTGGAAAGCAGTATAGAGATTCCTTGGAAATCTGGGAATAGAACCATCATTTGACCCAGCTATTCCTCTTCTCGGACTATACCTAAAGGACTTAAAAACAGCATATTACAGGGACACAGCCACATCAATGTTTATAGCAGCACAATTCACAATAGCTAAACTGTGGAGCCAACCTAGATGTCCTTCAGTAGATGACTGGATAAAAAAAAAAATGTGGCAATTTATACAAAATGGAAATTGTGCTCTATATGTGTAATAAGGATTGTAATGCATTCCACTGTTGTCGTGTATTAAAAAAACATTAAAATCAATAAAATAAGTTAAAAAAATAAAAATAAGAAATTCCAGAAATACACCATTCGTGAATTAAAAAAAAAAACTCGTGTGTCATTAAATTGTGGCAATACATACATAAATGTCTAAGAGAAAGCTTTATTTCCCTCATGATGAAGACTCACACTGGAATATCTAGGGACTTGTGGGTCAATCTGAATACACATCCAGAGCAATGCTTAATATTCTTTTAGCTAGAATTTGACTGTTTTCTTTTTTACTTTACTTCTCAGTTCTTCTGGCTGCTGCTTCTCCCTCAGGCAGAGCTGCAAATGCAGAAACTGGGCTGTGATGCAGAGAAGTGACACTCCAAGTTTGAATAGCTTTTGTTTAGACTACAGATCTAGAAGGACCATTGAACCTCAACGACAGCAACATCAAAATTTCATAAATGGATGTATGAGATTTTTTAATATCAAATTTATGAGAACACATTTTTTTAAGACCAGGATTAGATATATAGTAATATAAAAATGTCAATATATAAAACATCTATTTGAAGGCTGTCTCTCCTGGGATCTGAATGGTTACTTATTATGGAGCACAGATATTTAACTTAAGAAGAAGTTTTCTTAAACTTACTTGGTCTCTTTTATATGTATACTACAAAGGTAGAAGTTAAGATGATAGTTTTCTAAAGAAGAATTGTAATTGCTGAAAAGGAGCTGTGTCCTTTATATTTGCTTTGGAAAGTTCTTCTCAATAAACTTTGAAGTAGTCTTTATAAGATTACCATATCCCAGCCTCTGGAAATCACTTTCTCAGGTCAAATACAAGCTTAAGACACCATTTGACTATTATGGAGTGTGGGAATAAGTTGGTTCATTTGTGAGTTCTGTGTTGTGCTTCTATTAAATTACTGTCTAACTGGTTTCCATCCACTTCCAAGATTACCTTAATAGAAAATAACATTACTGCCCCAGGTCATTTTTCCTCATATAAATGGATTAGATACTTATATTTTCTTACTCCTTTTGGGGGGTTTTATCTGCCAGCAGCATTTTCTGTATTTAACACTGGTTAAGGAGCATTATATCCATTACCATTAGTGGCTAAGAAATACTTAGATGTTAATGAAATTATGGTATTACATTTTGTATGTGGATTAAAATAATCCTTTCTCCTTGAAAATGGAAAACATTTTCCGTGGTCAGCAGCTGTCATTCTAACTTAGATGCAAAATGCGGTGG